CACATAATTATATATATATATATATATATATATATATATATATATATATATATATATATATATATATATATATAAGTGTATTTGGACAGCAATCACTCTTTTTTATATATGCTTCATTAAATACGTCTGACAAACACAGTACCATGACACTAGTATATATATATATATATATATATATATATATATATATATATATATATATATTTATTTATTTATCCCTTAATTCCAGAGACCATTTGTACATATACAAAAAATATATTAAAAACTCAAGAACCTTGTCAGACTTGTTCAACCAAACACGTATTAAAGAGGGTTGCAACACAAATACACACACATACAAATATATATATATATATATATATATATATATATATATATATATATATATATATTTCACCACAATCAAGGTGAGAATGCCACTAGTACGCAGGGTGTTACAGAGACTGAAAATGAGAGAAAATACTAAGTATAGATGGCTGAGGAACCAGGGAAAAAGCTCGTCATAGCAGTTGCCATGAAAATATTTGTAGAAAAGACATTTCATTCCACAGTTAGCCACTGATTGGGGACCCTTTTCAATAGCAGCGGTCAGACTCACTTTGTCGGCTCTGATGGATTTGCTATTGGGACAGGAGTAAATGGTAGTGTCAATTGAATAAATGCCTACTTGGAAACTGATCACATCAGGAAGATCATTGGTGAAGATCAGAAACAGCGTAAGACACAGAATAGATCTTTCGGGGGTCGTGTGAAAGCATTTGGAAACGAGCCCGCCCAAAATGACCTTAATTTCACGATTTGTTAGGAACGATTAGATTAAATAAAAAAAATCGTCTATTAATGCCGCAGCCCTGGAGCTTACGTAGAAGACAAGCGTGCCAAACCCTGTAAAACGCCTTCGAGATATCTAGAGCCACAGCTCGAACTTCGCCGTTATTATCAAGAACATATTCAGTGGTGGCCGTTAGCACATCAGCGGTAGATCTGGCAAAACGGTAGTCATATTGTTTGTCAGAGAGTAGGTCATGAGAGGTAAAATGCTTAACCAATTCAGCATTGATTAAAACCTCGAATACTTTGTCGAAAAGCGACAGAAGACTAATAAGTCGATAGTTAGACGAGTCAGAAGATTCTCCAGAGTTCTTAAAAGCTAAAACTACAGAGAAGGACTTCTAACAAGCTGGAAATCAGGAAGCATTGAGGTAATATTTGTAGATTTGGGAGAGAACTGGAGCCATCTTGGGAGCACATTTCTTTAGGACAACGGTTGGGATACTGTCACCGCTTCTCTTATGGGAGTCTAATTTAGACGGGTTTATGAATATATCACTCAGTAGAACGTCTGTCCTATTGGGGATATTAGGTCTGGGTACACCAAATGATTCGAACAATGAGTTGTAGATGTCAGGATTTCGCTTTTTTGGGGAAACGCTTGCAAGAGCAAAGCAGAGACAAAGAAAGATCTGTTGCAATCAGACGTGTCGTTCTGGTACAGTGATTAATGTGGGCTACAGCTGCCGAGCATGTAGGTGAGAAGCATGATGAACGCGGTTTAACTTGGTATTTCCGTGGTGGAATGAAAGCATCGATGCCGGCTTTCATCCAGGAGAAGACGCGTATTTTTGAAAAAGAGGATTATAAACTTAATTCCAACGGACGTCACAAAGGAAATCATGGAACATGTCCCAATCCGCTCGTTGATAACAGAAAGATATTCTGTTGGTAGTGGGTTCTTGGCCGGTGGGCGAGTGGAAAGATATTTTTTTAGACAATACCACATGATCATATTTGTAGAAGAGAAGCCTATGCATTTGGGTTACTGGGGAAACGCTTAGAAAACTTCACCACATGCGTCAGAGATCGAGTGATTGAGAAGTTCAGAGCCTAGATGCCAGTGAGGTCAGTTGCAGAGTGTTTAAGCCATCTGGCATGGTGGACATTAAAGTCACCGAACACAAATATATTTGTAAACGGGCATAGGAACATGACTTTGTCTATATTATCAGAAGTACTATCTAGCATGCAACAGTCATGAAAGGAATGGGAACGGTAGAGAAAGAAGAGAAAGCTGACTGAGTTTAATAGAGAGATACTATATTTAGTCTCCCTCCCACTAGGGCAACATGTGACACAAGGTCGGTTGTTTATTGTGGGCTTATCCGAGCCCGTGGGCTCGGCCCAAAAATATGCCCATTTGAACCCGCCTAAGCGGGTTCAGCGCCGGTTTAATAGAGAGAGACGAAGACACATGTAAAAATTGTCTGGAGATCCAAGAGAGAGTTCCCTCGCCCGTGGCAGATGTTCGTGTTAGAGTCCTTCTTAAAGAGAGGAAAAAAGTCAGAAATCGAGAAATCAGAGTATAGTTTGAAGAGTGAAGATTAGTTTCGCAGAGGGCTAGGATGTCCGGAAACTTTTTCAAGAGGAACAATTCCACACTGCAGAAGTTGGTACAAATACCACGAATATTGGAGATAGAAAGGTTGAGGAGTATAGGGGTTTTTTGTTAATTGGTTTAGTTTTATATGTTTGGTTGTTTATAGTCATGGTGTGTTATTTTGATATGGAAAAGCCTAGGGTAGTAGAATCAGTCAATCATCTAATGTAACATGTGCGGGGGGGGGTAACTGTCATAGACTGCAACATAGTGTGGCTCCGGGGTTGCTTACCGGAGTTTCTTGCAGGTACACTCATCCATTCGTGACATCACACTGCAAGAACCTAGACATTATGATTAGAGCAGCCTCTCAAGATGCTACGCAAGAGATCGGGTTCGCACTACAAGTAGAAGATAGCAACCAGAAAACTACCAACCCGGTACACTCAATATGAAAAGGCGTTGCCAACATCCACACATACCACATAAAATCACGACAGAACCACTATTAAGGCTCGAGAAAAGGAAAGGAAACAGTGAACCCTTTCTAAAAAGGCTGCTACTCCTGTTCAAGAGAAGAGGAGGATTATGGACCGGACACTAGTTAGGACTATCTGCTCCTATTAAATAAGAGTTACTAAGTTTTAATTTGGTTAAAGTCAAGATATGCATTAGAAATTCAACATAGAATTAAAATCGGCAGTGACATACCCCTGAAAGAACTTAAAAAAAGCCGTCCTGGGTTTGACTTCCAGTTAAGTAATTTCAAAGAATGTATATTCGAATAACTTATTTGTAGAGTCGATCTGCGGTCCACGAAGAATCTTGACCATGCGATGTTTAACTGATATTCTAGCATATTAAAGGAGAGAGGAGGTAATAGTTAGCAAGAGTCTGCCCGTAGAATTATGAGTGTATAGCCAGTAGGTCAACTCGATAGCAGCAGGGTAAAAAAGGAAAAAAACATATATATATATATATATATATATATATAGGTGGCCTGACGATTGCATATAGCATGAAACAGACTGTCGCCTCTAAGTGTTGACTTCTATGTTCACTTTTATATTTACACACGCTTTATCTCTGATATTGAGCACTTTATTCCATAAATATAGCACACCTTAAGACTATATATATATATATATATATATATATATATATATATATATATATATTAGGTTGGTGCAAAAATAATGACGTAATAATGTCGTTTTTGACGTTAAAAATACGTCAAAAAACGACATTATTACGTCATTATTTTTGCACCAACCTAATATATATATATATATATATATATATATATATATATATATATATATATATAGTGTGTGTGTGTGTGCGCGCGTGTGAGTGTGTTTAATTTTATATTTTTCCTTAGAATCAGGTGATGGGATTTTAGTTTAGTCATTTTTGTCATGATGTGGTTGTTTGTAGCGCAGAAGAACTTCGGTTTTGATGTCTGCATTTGGTAGTTATTAGGTTGGTGCAAAAATAATTTCGTTTTTCACATAGTAACATATGTTAGAAAACGAAATTATTTTTGCACCAACCTAATAGTTATATATAGCGTCAAAAGTGACAATTAAATTTGATTTATACTTTGAAGGGAATTTCATTTGTTTGGTGTCGTCAGCAGTGAAAATTTCCCACCGTTGCTAATGGTCGGCGTTAGAACTTAGGGAAAATGCAACATAATTTCGGATGGTGCAGAACACTCCTGTTAAAAAAAAAACCTGACGCAGCACAATTTTCTTTCCCCCTACTTCTCCTTATATGACACCAACCCATTCGAATCGTAGAGGTATCACATACATTGTAGTCATATCATAGTTCTAGTCGGTTCTCGAACGATCACCGAAATTAAGCAACGTCGAACCTTGTTAGTATCTAGATGGGTGACCGCTTGTGAATACCGTGTGCTGCAAGCTTGGGTGTGTGTTTGGTATAACGGATAAGGGTTCGGAATTAGAAATTGGAGAGCCGAGTTCCATTTCCAGCCAATTTCATTATATTCAGATATATGTAAATATCCTTAGGAATGTTATGAATCCACTTCTTTCCCCTCGCTATGGGTTAATTAATATGACTTATATCAGTAAATGATTATTATCTCCAAAACATTCTGACAATCTAAAAATATTTTTCGGTTTTAAACAAACTCCAAAATGGTTGGTAATTCTTAAAAAAAAATCAATTATAGCTGTTGTCGCATGTCGAGGACAAGATGGCCTGACTCTGCCCGACCCTCTGTTGGTTGGTTTTGGATTCAGTTCTTCTTCTTCTATACTGACGTAAGAGAGTTCAATCAATTCTTAACCCATAGCTTGATGAAAAGGTAATGTAGAAAGGAAAGATACATAATTCTCCTGATTTTATTTGTACGAAAGTGAACGTAACATACTCTGTCGGTATTCGAACCCGATTCACCGATTTCTCTTTCGGAGTCGATAACCGTTATACTACCAGAACACTAGAAAATCGAAGCTGAGTAAATACTAACAAATGAATCGATAGTTTGATTTTCATTGACACTTCGTACCTCATATATCAATATGCACATCTAACTATACCCATTCTTTCTATCTTGCGGCAGGAGTAATATTTCCATTATCTGACACGTTCTATGACTATAATTAGTAATAACTCCCGTGACACTAATTCCACATTTATTACAATAATTGTCTTTCTTATGGCTTCTCCACATGTACGAGCAGAAAGCTTCTTGACTGCTGCAAGCTACACATCCCAACCGGCTCCATCCTTCACACAATCAAACCAGAGTTACGGGCAAATTTCCCGACAGATGATTTCAATTACTTCCAAATTTACTCTGACCTCGAGAAACTCACCATGGTTACCGCCGAGGGAGAAATCCAAGCCACTTCCGTCGGGAGAATGATGGTGGGGATGGCCACGACAACGGCAGTTAAGTTACTTCATCTTTTCTCTTCCTAGTCTTAATTCTTTTGTCGTTCTTGTCTACAGACACAAACCCGCTTTATGTTTGACATCACTCTGGTCCATCAGTCGAAAGAAGTCGTCTGATCCTTGCAAATAAACGGCACTTTTTCTTCTTGCTCTAAAAGCATTTCACTACCGTCTCGTCTCCTGATTGTCTCCGACAAAACATTTCTAACCAACCTAAAAGATGTCGATGTATTTTGGAAGAAACTAGTGTGTTGATGAATGTATTTTGGAAGGTACTGTTGGTGAATTGTTAACAAATTAATATTGGGATTGTTGGAATATTAGTTTTGTTTCTCATAAACGAAAGCGAAACTTTCCTTTTCTTAATGTAATTAAAAAAACCCTACACATTCAGATCAAGAAAATCAATCACACGTATGTTTAAACATAGAAATATATAAGAACATATAAAGGCTTGGAGGTAGGTCAATCGATCGTTCGATCAATCTTTTGATCAATATCCTAGGCTGTTCATATCTATCCGAGTTTGTTCACACACACAAAAACACACATATCTATCTATCTATCTATCTATCTATCTATCTATCTATCTATCTATCTATCTATCTACACACACAGGAACACACACACAACACATATATATATACATATATAATTATGTATCCTAGGCTGTTCATATCTATCCCAGTTTGTTCACACAAACACACACATCTATCTATCTATCTATCTATCTATCTATCTATCTATCTATCTATCTATCTATCTATCTATCTATCTATCTATCTATCCACACACACACACACATATATATATATATATATAATTATGTATCCTAGGCTGTTCATATCTATCCTAGTTTGTTCACACACACACACACATCTATCTATCTATCTATCTATCTATCTATCTATCTATCTATCTATCTGCACACACAGGCACACACACACATATACATATATATATATTGTGTATTTGGGCAGCAATCCATCTTTTATGGAAGTTCCGTTAAAAACGACTGAAAAGGTGCTGGGATCAAGTTTTTTATATAATTTTTTATGTGTTCTTATAACGTTTTTCTTTTCAGGATATTTTATTTTACTTTGAACTGAAAATATGTATTATTTTATGTATGTATATAGAATTATAGGAATGCTTTATTTTACAAACACGATCAGTCCATTGTGGCCGTGATCATAGTTGATATTACTGAGCATCGGCGTTTTCTTTTCTTTTATTAATAATTCTTGCATTATTTTTAGCCTTTTTTTACATGTAGATAAGGCTATTAAATTTGGATTATCAACGAGTATGTTACAGTTGGAGTTTAGTAGGTCAACATGTATATTTAAATGAGACCTAATTGAACCATTGTCAGAGAGATTTAACGTGAGTCTTCTTGTTAAGCATGTTGTAGTTTATCCAATATAATTATTTAAGAATTTGGATAGGGACACGTGACTTCGTAAATAATATTAGTTCTCTGTAATTTGGATCTTGTAAGTGAATTATAGTTTGAAAAATGAAACATTTCTATAACTCAAGATACATACATAAAACAATCCCATTAAGTTAAAAATAAAATAAAATTCATCCTTGATAATGGCTAAAAGTATATCCGAATGCACTTGGATATATAAAAAAAACTTATATAACTAATTTCCTGAAAAGAAATTATAAGAAAGTATGAAAAATTATAAAAAACTTAACCACAGTTACTTGTCAGTCATTTTTAACAAATCTATCTCTCTCCTTCTCTCTCTCTCTTTTATATATATATATATATATATATATATATATATATATATATATATATATATATGTGTGTGTGTGTGTGTAGCTCTTGAGGCTTGAATTAGGCGAACATTAGTAAACAAAATTGTCATTCGGTTTTTATATTTTGCATAGTTTTTAAAAACGGTGTTTGGCGTTTAAATATTGATTTAATGATAAAGGCTTCAAGAATCTGCAGCTGATTTTTCATCAATTAATGTGGGGGTCAGTTACCAGTGTGTGGATGCTAAAAAGTTCAAAATTAGTCCAAATCGAAGCGGGTTATGAAGAATTGATCGCAGAGATTTTGGCAGGGAAAATAAAAATAAAGGATATATTGCTTTCGATAAAAAATATTTTTCTAACAACAAATATAAATTGTATGAAGATGAAAAGCTGTATTTAATTCTTTTTTCCTCATGTTAATCTAATACAAACCCCAAGAGCCACTCACAGTGGAAGGTTAATGTGTAGCGATGTTGGTTTTGTTAAGCGGTATATCAACACCTCTATGAGTTACTGAATGCCGAAATCTAAATATTTTGTACGCATTTTTATGGCTTCAACTACAGACAATTGTATATAATTTTATACTTTCAGGGAAAACGTATGTGTAGATATATAGCTTGGGAATAAATCTATTGCTGATAATTTTACTTTAAAAATGTATTTTTATACTTTAGTGCAGTACTGAATTTCATTTTGATATAAAATGTATTACTACTGGGCATTTTTTGTTAATAAATGTATTGCTGGTATTTTTACCATAATATATTTTTGTACTTCGTGAAGCACCAAACAAAAATTAAAACACTATTTTTCCATATCTGTGACTCTAACAGATGCTACCATCCCAAGTCAGAGTGGATCTGGGAACAACAGTAATTAAAAGGTGGCTACATGCTCTTCAAAAACGTGTTCGTGAAGTTAACTCGGAAAGATAACGGTTAACTCTGATTTGAAGAGATCATCGGCAAAACATACCGCATAGAGTTATTTCCACAAAGCAACAGTCTTTGGCAGTGGAACTTGCTTCTTCTTATTGTAATACAAAAGGAATGGTGATTATATATCATTGTATACCTGCCATGGCTGTTTCTAGCAATAAAGGTCAGGGTTGGTGGAACTAAAGAATGTAGCTAGTCATAAAACCTGCCATGGAAATGGCGATAGTGTAGCGAGAGACTTGCGACTTTTCGTCTATGGGAAAGGGGTTGTAAGGTGGAAAATAATTAATCACCCAAAAGGCTGTGTAGATGATTTTGAATTCTCTCAAGACAGAGAAATGAGGATATAGCAGTAGTACTCCATTTTTGGTCTGATCTGACATTTGTAACAATAGAGTATAGCAGGTAGAGTCAGATACCTCCTGAAACGGTACAATTAACTGAGCATTTTCCCAGATTATTTAGAAACATATATAACATATATATGGGTTCAACTTGAGGTCTGGGGTGAGCTTGAATCCCAGTAGATGGTCAAAGCAAGAAGCCTCTTCGAGAGAACTCAGGAACGAAGTAACAGAAGAATTGATTAATACGAGAAATTCTCACATATAGACAGTGGGATGAGCCTCTCCGTACATGATGCAGATGAAATAAAAGGTTCGGTTGGAAATTGTTTACCCATTACAACGTTTAAGAGTGACTCAACGTAGAAGTTTATAGAATAACGATGCTGATGAGAGGAGACGGTTGACATGAGAATTGACAGTCGTTAAATACATTAAAAAAATCCAATTTAAATTTAATTTAGATAGGTTTCTTGATTCTTTTAAAAATGCCTCAAGAATCTGCAGCTGATTTTTCCCATTAGTGTGGAGACCCTTTACCAGTGTGTGGATGTTACAAAAGTTCAAAATTAGTTCAAATCGAGGCGGACATAAAGAATTGACCGGAGAGATCTTAAAAAAATCAATGTAAATCTTATATAAGGGTAGATGACTTGATTTTCTTATAAAGGCTTCAAGTCGCCTTTTTATTGCAATTAGCGTTAAGTCATATTGATAGTGCGTGGGTGTTACACAACTGTAGGATTAAAATCGTTCAAATCGAAGCGCTATCTGAAGAGTTGACCGGTGAGATTCGGTCAGGGAAGAAACGAGATAACGACGAGAGTGAATATCTCCTCATTAGTTGTTGATGTTGTTGTTGTTGTTCGAATCATTGTGTAGCAAAGGTCAGTGCCGAGAAGCATCCTGCCGTGATAAGTAAATCATGGTATGTCTTTTTGATCACCAGCCCTGTAAGATGATGAAGATGGTTGACGTGAAAAGAGGCAAGAAGAACATTTTACTGCCCTTTCAGCTTTCAGCCGATTCGGATATTCCACCAAGTTCTTTTCTTTCCGAATAAAAATCTCAAGGACAGCAGTACACACATACGTTTCGTATATATATATATATATATATATATATATATATATATATATAGAGAGAGAGAGAGAGAGAGGGAGACTGTGAGGAGGATGGGTAGAACACGAAACGAAATATATATATATATATATATATATATATATATATATATATATATATATATATATTAGTCTAACAGCTGGCTACTCGTTTACAAGAATATAATCTTATATGTTTGCTAATCCCTGTTGCAGACACCCTCTCAGGCACACCCTCTCGGCACAGTTCTTCAGATCACATCTGTATGTACATCAACTACTGTTTCAGGTAGAATTTTAGCAGGATCTAAAGTTGAGTCACGATGACTTTTAACTAGATGCTAGAACAATTTAAGACAGCATTATTTACATTATTGTGACTATTGTCCTCATCTTTGTCGCTATATTTATTACAACGTTTCGGCCGTTGTATGCTCCGGCTTCTTCAGGTGGCTGAAATGTCGAACATAACCCTTTATGTTCTAGTTCCTCGTGCCATGTTTAATCAGTTATTTCCTGTTAATTTTCCCTCTGAAATATCTCCACTGCCTTAGCCGAGTATTGAACTCATACTCTTTGGGTCCAACGCCTTTATCCACTGTGCCATGTGTCCTTGAGGACATTTGTGTATGAATTTCTGGGTACTATAAACTATATTATTGCCTTTCAGTAACCATTTTTACCAGTGCTCATATTGCAATTTTTTGCGGTTATCAAATCATATTTTTACCAGAGCTCATATTGGAAATTTTTGTTCTTGTTATCGCTTTTCTCTGGCACTCCTTATTACTGGTTTCCATATTGTATTCATTTCTATGCTTGGTCGGCTCAGGAGATTTTTGTGGCCTAGCATATGTGCTGATTCCTTAAGTTTATGAATTTTTCAATGTTGTTCCTTGTCTATGATTTCAACCTGATCCCACAGAGGGCGGTGATCCCTCTTCTCTCTCCATATGTGGTCAGCCACGCCTGATTTTTCCAATTACAGCTTTCTGGGAAATTAACAGGATATAACTGATAACTGATATCCATTAAACATGGCACGTGAAACTAGAACATTCCGATTACCTGAAGAAGGCCGAAGCGTACAACGGCCGAAACGTTGTAATAAATATGGCGACAAAGATGAGGACAATAGTCCGAATAATGTAAATAATGTACATAACACCTCATCTCAGAAATATAGACAGATAATTTAAGACAGCTTCTGAAGAGTTTCGTTTACTTAATTCCACTAACAAGGCTTGGGTCAACTCATAGTATTTTGTTTCAGATACTTCCTAAGTGTGCTGCACCTAGAGATCGTCTTTCCAAACCGATCTTATCAAGAATTCATTCACTTGACAAATCGAACATGGTAAAATTCTAAATGTGAAACTTACGGCCGTAGCAGTAACGCTCCAATCACTCCACCACGCGCCACGTATATATATATATATATATATATATATATATATATATATATGCATGTTTCATTAAAAACGACAGACAAGGTACTACGGTTAAGCTTTTTATTTAATTTTTCTTGTGTTCGAACAAGAGCTTTCTTTTCTGGACAAAGGGTGTATAAGAACTGTCCGAATGTTTTATATTTCCGAGCGCTTTCGGCTATACCTTTAGCCATTAACAAGGATGATTCCATTTTTCAGCTTAATTGAGTGTATGCGTTCTGTGTATGTATTAGTGTGTGGTAGGGATGTTTTTAATTTCCGAATACGGTTAGCACATTGTGGCTTTGTTCGTAGGTAATATTGTTAAGAGTTGGCTTTTTCTTTTTTATTATTAAAACATCCATTATTTTTAGTCTTTTTTTTTTGCAGGTGGATGCAGTTAATATATTTGTGTTTTCTACTAGTATATTCCTAATGGAGTCTGTCAAATTTGTGTGTGTGTTTAAATGGGTTCTAATAGAGCTGTGATCAGATAGGTTTAACGTAAGACGTCTGGATAAGCATGTAGTTGTGTAACCGATGTAATTATTTATGAGTTCGGTTTGATCAGGAACACAGTTCCTTAAGGGGCATTTGAACTCATAGATAATGTTCGTTCTTTGTAATTTTGACTTAGCTGGTGTGTTGTTATTTTTGAGGATAAGGTTAGCTGTCTTGAATTTTTTATAATAGATAATTAATTTAAACACACACAAATTTACCAGACTCCATTAGAAAAATACTAGTAGAAAACACAAATATATTAACTGCATCCACCTGCAAAAATTTACTAGACTTCAAGCATGGCAATAAAGGCACTAGGACGCAAGGGATTACTGAATGTGAAAGCATAAGAAAAATAATGCATTATTAAGGAGCAAGAACAATAAAAGAAGTGGATCAAGAAAATTGTAGATAACGATTGATATTGCATTTAAATATTTGAAGAATAAAGTTGGTTGGAAAGCGAGAAGCCGGAATGAGATTTCAACAAGCGAGAAGTGCGAGAAAAGAAACTTTTAGCATAGAACTTACGGTTACATGTCACCAATTCAACTGTAACATGATGATACCCTGTTTCCAGTCTATTACTGCATTTAAATTCATAAATTCGAGCTACCATAGAGGAAAATTCATTAGTACAATTACCATATATATTTACAGAAAAGGTACAGCGAAGCTATATTGCGGCTGTGGGAAAGTGACTGAAGCCGATATGCTAGGTGAGGACCAATAACATTGCAGATTTTTCTTTGGATTTTATCAAGAATCAGATTCAAATATAAACTGAATCAGTTTTTTACTTAGAGACTCTAGTAGAAACTTGACAAAAGTTTACTCAATTATAAACGCAGCAAATATGTTTGCCTTTATACTCAAGTATAAAACACAACTATTGCTTAACTATAAACTCAAGTATAAAGCCGATCAATTTCGCCTATTAACTTAAGTATAACCCCGAGCAATATTTACTAATAGACTCATGTATAAGCTCGACCAATATTTTACCTATAGATTCAACCATAAAAAAACAGAATTCGACATTAAATAAATCCCAAATTTGTTGATATGTTGTAAAATCTTCCAACCGAAACAAGTTTCATTTTAACGATCGAGGAAAGAACGGCTAGAACATTGAAGCAAAAATCGATACAAAAGAATCTGATCAATAGTGAAATTAACATTTGTCCGAATGTCGTTCCGAAATTAATGACCCCTGTTTTATTATGTTGCCCCACCAGATATTAGGCAGATGTTGGTAGGTTTGTCAGTAGAAGTTGAAAATTCCCGGCATAATTTCTTCTTTTTTTATTTTTTTAATTTTTTTTTTTATTAATTCACACCAAGCAAGACGATAACGCCACTAAGATGCAACGAGCTACTTGGAGCGAAAGAAGATGGAAGAAGACTTTAGCAGAAACCGGGAACCCAATCCTAAACAGGCAACGAGGGATAAAGTTCTACTTCCGTTCGAAAGACCCGGAAGTAATGTGAACCGGTAAAATAGACGAACCTGTCTAATCCTATTTAGCGCTTACAGACATATAAAGTTGAATTACCGACTCTAGCAAGATCACCGAGGTTAAGCAACGTAGAGTCTGGTTAGTAGCTATATGGGTGACGGCTTCAGAATACCAAGTGGTGTAAGCTTCTTCGATGTACTGCGTCACTTCAGGATATAGGCGATAATGATCTTCAACAACTTCCTATCTCGTGTGGCTGTTCACAGTTTTTGCTCTTTGGTATGGCTCCTCCAGTTCCACCGTCTATTCACACAAGCTCGCCAGGTAAGTTGTTCTCATTTGCCGGAAAAATAATTAATAATTGCTTCCGACCTGCCATCCTTAAGCTACGAACTTTTCAATCAACCTCCATTATAACTCAAATATGCCTTGCGTTATTTCAGGAGAGAATTATAGAAAATGTTTACTAAGCCTTACTCAATCTGACAGAACGTCAAATTAAATTTGATAAGAATGTTCAGACTGTGATAAGTCGGTTAATAAACGAAGAGAGACTGACTTCCAAATGAACATTCTAGATCCTGGCTTTTGTCTAGGCTTGAACACCAACTGATGATGCCGGTGGGAAACAACACAACTTAACTGAAACGACCACACGCTCGACCAGAATTTTCTATTGAATAACTTATTGATCCAATGTCACAGCTGGAATGTTATTATCAAGTATCGCCAGGTCGCTGACTGTTGAGGATAAAACGTGAGATGACATGTCGGATATAGTTTGATCGAAGCCACTTGACGCTTGTTACACCAGACACAACAAGCGAACAACAGGCATTCGTTGAGCAAAGCAATTTCAAGAGATGCATAAATTAAAAGATTCTGAAATTGGCGGACGCCTTTGCGTGACTTGTCACAAAAGTGTCAGCATCAGTTCGGTGGTTGGCTCGTTGAAAATCGTAATCACGACGAATTATTTCTTTGTATTCGTCTTAAATATAATATAAAAGACCGGTTGTGTCTGTTCGTCTGAAGAGCTTATTAGATACAAATTTCAGATGGGACTTGCCATGCTACTTTCACGGATTCGAATCAGCCACATTTCCCCCATATTCCAAATGTAAGAAGAAAGTTCCATTCAGACAGCTTTTTTGCACCCCATCCAAAGAACTGCTATTTTTGAGAACAGATACCCAAGTGGATCCTTCTTCAATGTTAATCTCTTCAAGGGTTAATCGTTATCACTTTCTACTCATTCGTTTTAACCATTTTAAAAGTGGCCCTCTACCTTGATTGGCTCTCGTGTCTTGCATGTGGTGAACTTATATATATATATATATATATATATATATATATA